GGGGGGGGGGGGGGGGGGCGCAGCCGTTTGTTGAATCCCGTGGCGTTTCGGCTCCACTGCCCGGGGGATCTGGAAGAGTAATCTGAGCGTGAACCCGATGTTGATAGATAGATACAAGCCTTCGTAAGTGGTTGTAAATGTTTTCGGAGATTTTTGCGGGTGAGGCTGATAACTTTTGGCGGCTGCAGTTGGTGGTGCCGCGAGAAAGCACCCGCGTATCATCAGTCGAAGGTGTTACTGCTGTGCATTGGATAAAAGTTAACTGGCCTTGATACGAACTGTTATGTCCCCTTCGTGTCTTTGTATCTCCTCGAATCGAACCGGTCTTTGTTTCCTATCCTTTTGGTCCTTCAGCCCCCCAGCTTACGCGGTGTGCTCCTGCTGTGTTGGGGACACACCTGCTTTTTGATGTGTGTGCAGTGTGTTTGTTTCCTCGATTTTCATCGTATTTCTTCATGTTTCGCACGCAATGCGTTTGATTGATCCGTGGCCTCCAACTGAACTGGAGCCAGCAAGGGGCAATCTTTCCACCCAACCGCAAATCGGCGGAGACTTACGAAAACTTGGTTTTTGGTGAGGGTTGCTCGCAACGCCACGCTCTCACCTCTGGCGATAAGCATGGTGCTGTTGCCCTGACGTGGTAGCCTGCGCACTACCTCAGCCCTAGCCCTCGCGTACGCAGGGTCAGAATTTTCGGTGAATTTTCTGGTGGTTGTCATCGGCCTCTGTTCTTGACGGCGGGCCGCGTGATGTTCCACCCTGTCCCGACTTTGATACTCTTTTTTGTTTGCGGTAGCTCGCCATGGACGCCGGTTGGGTTGTCTTTGCTTGTGGCCTTGTCTTGTTGTTAGGCTGCTGTAGTTTTTTTTGTTGTGATTTGTGGGCTGTTTTTTATAGTTGTTGTACGCTGCCTTGCATATTTCAATCCTTGTTTCAACCAAAGATAGTTAGTTTGTTCGTGTACACGCAGAAAGTACAAAGGTTGTAGGTTGTAGAATCTCGGTATTGTATCGCCGAATCATTTAGGGTGTTTTTTTAGCCCGCCAGCGAATGGCGCGGGGGTGGCGGCTGCGCCGATAGATATGGTAACGTACCCTTGAGAATTTTTTTACCGTTGAAAGGCTGGATCGTACCGTAGCACCGTATTCTGGCAATAGCGGCGCATGGCAAGTTATCGGTTCTTCGCTAGAGCCGTGTCCAGCGGCGTAGCAGCAAGCGTGCATTCGCTCGACGACGCGTGGCATTCTGGGAGCGTACTACAGTAGCCCGCGATTTTTCATCTCGAGGGTGAAGATTTTGTCGGATTTGCCTCTGCGAACCGGGTCTCCGGCCTGCTGATCGTGGAAGGGTGTCGAAAACCACCCTCCTTTTCACGAGCCGGAGGGGGGGGGGGGGTCTGTTTATTGCCGAGGTAGACGATTTTCGAGTGTGCAATGGGTGGAGTCAAGGAGTAGAGTTCGATGGTACATGTCGACTGAAACGAGCGCAGACTAGCCCTCCGCGGAGGGATTAAGAGAGTGTAGGCCCAAATTAAGAGGGCGGGCGTGGAATGAGAATAGACGGGGACCCAGAGGGCGGGGGAGGGGCATCTATCTGTGTCCCCGTTCAGCGGGAGTGGTTGTGCGGAGAGAGCGAGCGAGCAGCGGCGGTCAGGAGCAGTGCCGCCTTGCTGTACTTTGGGCAAGATGTAGCTTGCTCCATTCCCCTTCCTCCTCCTCTTCGTGTGTTCTTCTAGCTCACCCTGCCTGATGAAAATGACGCAGAGTTTGGGGAGTAGAAAAGAATGGTGGGTGCGCGACACACGAGGCACGGGTTTCCTTGTTGCAGTTCTCTTGGATTATTTGCGAGTAGGCCACCTTGGAGGCGGGCGGGGGGGGGGGTTGGCCGGCAAAGCGCCGGTTTAGAAGCCAAATTGTCGACATTCGAAGATTGCTGGTGTTTACGGGTGGACCGGGCGTGGGGGGGGGTCGGAGGATGGGAAGTGTGGATGGGTGTGTGTATGCACCATTTCTCCTTATTCGTCCTTGTCTCTTCCTCGTGATTCGGGCGCGAAATGACGGCGGATGGCGTGCGCATGAAAATGGAGGCTTGGAACATTTTGAAACACGTTAATGTAATGAAAAGTGAAGGTAGTATTTAGTATTTTAAGTAGTTTCGAACGTTTAGCGGTAGGCTCTGTAGTATCTGGTAGAGCCGCTGAATTGTATTGCCGACGCTGAAGGAAGGAATTTAGACTAATTGTAGTTTTGGTTGTTTTGGATCGTGCCATATTGTATTGAACCACCACACTGCTGCTGCTGTTGTGGTCAGGGTGTAGAGGGTTGGCTGTGCTCCCGGCGTTGTAGAAGCAGGAGGCGAGAGATAGCGAGGGGAAGATAGTAGTAGCTTGGTTGGCGCCGTAGAGCTCTTTCGAAACCGTTCGTCTTGGGAATGTAAAGACGCACGTGTGCATCGGAAGGATGGGGGGTTGTCAGGTCGTCAGTGTTTGACGGCGAGTTGCTGTCGTCGGATTTCTACTCAACAATGACGCACCAAGCTTTGGGAACAGGGGGGGGGATGCAGACAGGCTATGGTTGTTCGAAGTCGATTGTCTTGGCTTTCGAAACTTCAGGCGTGACTGTGGTCTAAGCACGTAGTACAGACCGATGAGTCCGACACGATTTTCGAGTCTGTTGGCTACGTTGCAGTAGTTACAGACATGCTACAGTAGTACCTCATGGGGTGGTTTTGGAGGTCTTTTGCGGAGGGGAGGACCCACAGCGAGAGCTCTCCATGTGACCACAAACTGATGAAGGTGGTGTTGAGCCTACGTGGCTCGCGTGATGCCATTCGATTGCTGTACATCCTTCCGGCGGTCGGGATGGTGTTGCTATCGGAAGGGTCGAATAACGATGGTTCGTCAGCCTATCATGCGTAGGAGAAGTATGTTTTTTGTTCGTTCTTTTTCAATGGACGCTTCTTGCGCTCGACCTTGGTACACGCATGCATACGCTTCATGTTTTTTATTGCCGCACCAGTCTCTCATGTAGTGATGAAAGGCGATGCTAGTCTGTGGGTGACCGATGACCTCATCTAGTGATGAAGGGCTATGCTAGTCTGTGGTTGACTGATCTCAACTAGAGATGAAGGGCTTGCTAGTCTGTGGTTGACTGGTGTCATGTAGCGATCTGATGAAAGGCGATATGCTACAGCAGTCTGTGGTTGGCTGTCGTTTGGAGCGTAGGCTAAGAGTGGTGCCTCGCCAGGTCGTGCTAGCTTGACTTGTGACTTGGGCGAGGTTCCCTTCTTCCGCTCGGTACATTCCTGGGCACTTCGTTGTCATGTGGAGCGTGCTTGCATGCATGCGTAATTTTTGTGCCTTTGCACTGACGATGTTTCGGATGAATATCTGGGAGTAGGGGGGATTCGGAATCGAAATCGACGCACGCACATGTTGTAGCATACAACAGCAGTGTCGTTTGTTTTGTTTCGGGAACGAAGAAAGTAGTCGTCGAGGTTTTGGTATACTACTGTCGTCGTTTGTCGTGCTCTGATGACCCAACGATTGAAAAAGCTGTGATGGTTTCACCAGGAAGTTCATCAATCGGACTACGTTACTCGACGGTGCATTATGTTCTCCCATCCGGCACCATCCGGCACATGCTTCGATTCTCGACAGAGAATTGATGAAACCAAGTTGGTGGTCAATGGTATGGCGTAACCGCTGCTCCTGAGAAACAGGTGGTGGCCGACAACCCTGTCTGGACGATCGGTTTCAGCTGGTTCATGCTTTGTTGCGACTGTTACTCAATAGACACCACCACCACTACAAAATAGTTACCGAGCTTCTCTTGGAGGACCAGTACGGCTGCCTGAGGCAAGCTGTTTTCTCCAATGTACCACTGGTGTTGGTTGCGGCTCATAATCGCACTCTCTGAACGATATTCGGTGCACTCTGTTTCCATGCACTTCACTTCATCTTTGGGCATGTGGTGAACTAACTACGAGTGAGTGATTTTGCCAGCCGAAGGTCCCGAGCGACACCGTGCAATAAACCAATAAATCCCGCTCGTGGGAGTGAGGGGCCAACGAACGAACCAACCTACAAACTGCGATGGGACACACTTGAGCTAGGTTGTACGAAGCAACCATCATCACAGAGCCACCCGTCGATGTAAGTCTTCATCGTTTAGTTTATTGCAGAAAAAGCTCCGAAAACCGTAGCAGCTTGGACACCTGAAACCCCCCCTAGGCATCAGCAGATGAAACAACTCAAGATGTTCTACCCCGTGATAGTCATGATGCGCAGGTTGCGGGAACGCGCCACAGAACGCTCGCTTAGCTCTCTTGGAGGGAACCACAGGCCGTTGTGTGACCGTCGCAAATGAAACGCGAACGCTTCGGGACTATTTATTCTCCCTCCCGAACGCATCCTTCCCCCCAAAAATACTCAAATACCGCGAGTGGCTTGGTTGTCTAGACCCAAACGGAAAAGCTCAGCATCCCCAACAATCCCCGCCTTAAAAAAAGTATCGGAGCTTATACTACTGGAGGAAGATGCCAAGCGAACCGCACCATTTTACCCTGACTCCCAAAAAACATCACACGAAACATTAACATTCATATTGCACCACAAATACTCTAGGACCCTGTTGGATTCGCCGGCAGAAGATAAAGACTTGCTCTGAACCTTGTTCTTCCTGCCCTGGCACCCACGAAGAATCAATACACGACACGACAGGTTGTTTGTACCTAAGCACAGCACCACATTGATAAATAGCTAACAATCAAATACGTTGCGCTTGAACATTTCCACCCCCAAACGGCGAACTTCACATATTTTTCTCCCCGGCCCCCGTAAAACCGGGCGTGCTTCGTCTCGGCGTTCTAGGGATGCGAGGGCAATGGTCTAACGACCGCGGCATGCACGACCATGAGTACCCCCCGGCCCCTCCCCCTCCCGAATTCCCTATTCCACCCTCATGCAGTTTGAAGACAAGAGTTCCGCGTACCCGGTCATCCAAAGCTACAGTAGGAAGCCAAAAAACTCTAGACAATCAATCATACCACAGATGCGTTACCGCGAAATACTCGCTCAACCAATCACCTTACCCCCCTCCGTGCATAAACAAACGACACTCGAGCCAGGCGTGTGTGTGTGTGTGTATACCGTTGGTCGCTTACACGTCGGTACATGGAAGACACAAACAAACAGGGCTTTCCTGGAAAACGAACCAATTTGCCAACAAGGCTACGATTTTTGCTCGCGCTTCAGAACTTGGCACTTAAGAAATTGATTTTGTGTAGCCTAAAAAAGCTCGGAATCTAAGAACTTGAGCACCATTGGTGAGCTCGGCTAAGAACCCTTATACAAAAACCCACACCGCGGCCATTTGTAGCATAACCCTAGGCACTGCCAAGAACCTCATCCTGGCCGAAACTAGAGGTTCTGAAGCGCGGACGTGAACTTTACTATGAAGGCGGAGCTACATGCCCATGCTTCGCTTGGATCAAAGTGCAGCCAACAAGAGGCACCGCGTGTAGTTGGTTCCTGTATTCCTCACCAACTGCAAGCTTCAAACGCTCTCCGATACATTCTTTGCCCACCCACCCTCCGTACTCGAGAGGCGCTCCGACTATCTTATTCCTACGCCCTCTCCTTATTTAGCCTCCGTCCATTCAAGTCGAATAAATTTCACCCTACTTGTTTATTTTACCTCCCTCGATTGTTTCCGGTACATGGCGCGGTGTTTTTATACAGCAGGTAGCGCACATGTCTGGAGAAAAAATGTAGCCTTGCGCCGCCTCCTTGAACTCGCGGACGTGAAAAAACACCAGTTGGAAAATACCCAAATACCCAAATACCCTTTCTCCCATTAGTTGGAAAGGTCTCGAAATACGGCCTCTAGGCTTAGTTAGCCGCCACACACGGACTCAAGAAATAGGACGTACCGGCGTACCATGAAAGGTATCCAGGAAACCTCTGTCCGTGTTGTCGACCCAACGGACTCGTCGATGAGGCCAAATCATTTCCCACTCCACGCTACTCATGGTACACCGCCGTAGACGGGCAAATACATGTCCCCGCCATGACACAGCCGACCTACCGCAACATCTAAATACGGGGTGGTACACGGCTGTACGCTCATCATTGCCACGGGCTTGGTGGAAGCCCCCCGTGTTTGCATGACGATCCTGCTCAGGGTAGTCCATGTGAGCATCACAAGAGACCCACCACATTACTACCCCCTGTGTGCCTGCCGTAGACTCTTTCCACACGCCGGACAGAGGCGTTAGTTGTCCCACCCACTGATAGGCAGCCATGGAAGAAGATCGGAGTGAGACACCTCTCTCTCCCGCTAGCCTCGCTTCGCCCCAACCTTCAGCTTGGGGACCTTGAAGCCTTTCTTGGGGTCCAGGAAGCCCTTGAACAATGCCGTCTTCGACGTGGACTTACCCCTCATGGCAAGGATGGAGGTCGTCGACAGCTGCGGCGACACACAACAGGGCCACACAACGGGTGGAAAAGGGAGTGAGACCTGGTTACGAATCACGATTGTCGGAGACACCGTCATCATTTGTTCGAGGTTCTCACCTCTGCATCCAAAAGGTTGAAAAGCCTTTGCCCCACCCAACCAAGAGTCAAAAGCAACACGGTCATCACGAACAAAAAGTATACCGACAACCCCCTCTCACTCGCGCGAGAGAAATCCACGTCCCCCTCAATGACCCAGATCGCACACACCACACCTACAGCAGTAACACACCACAACCTCCCCCCCCCCCCCCCC